AAGTAGAGAGACTCTTGACCAAGCAATTGCATGATTTCCAATGCAACGAGGTCACCGACGAGGCACTACGACGGAACATAACCAACATAAGCAGGTCACCCTTCACGGACGAGATCGAGCAGGCAGAGCCTCCACGCGAGTTCAGCATGCCACATTTCACATCTTTCAAAGGGGATGAAGACCCGAAAAGACACTTAAAGCGCTACCGAAGCGCAATGATCCTTTATCGAAACAACGATGATCTTATATGCAAGATATTCGCCACCACTCTACAAGGCGAGGCGCAAGATTGGTTCTACACCCTGCCGCCACAATCCATCCGAAATTTCTACGAACTTTCTTTGGTTTTCACCAAAGAATATTCATCCTATCGCTCAATCAAAAAGAAGTCTGACCATTTGTTCGACGTCAAGAAGAACCCAAAGAAGTCGCTTCGCGACTATGTGAGGAGGTTCAAAGTAGAGAAGGCAAAAAGAGTTAGATGCAACGACTCGATAGCTAAAGCAGCCTTCCAAAAATGACTTCCAGCAGACCACCCATTGTTCGGAAAATTGATAATGAAAGAAGATCTAACTCTGGCAGACTCTTTCGCTATGGCAGAGAAGCATGCACTTTGGGACGAAGTTCGCCGATGCCCATTTAAGGCAAATCCAAGCGATCTTGAATATGAAGTTCCCCACTACTCTGAAAGAGATTCAAAGTCTGACTGGACGAGTAGTCGCATCTGAAGCAGAAATAAGCTCTACCATCATACGAGAAGAGCTGGGGGCCCGATTACCTATATTCCATAGTTTAAAAGCTTTCCTTGATGCTATCAGTTGTATTCCACAGTTTAAAAGCTCTAATTGATGTTATCAGAAATTTAAAAGCTAACTTCGACGATAGTTGTTGTAACCTAAAAGCTCAAGTTTTACCTTCAAACGCACACAGTCATCATCATGATGCACTATTCCATCGAATCCTGACGAACGCAACAACTAGGCCTAAAAGACATGCCAAAGGTAGACGAACACTAGAAGGAACACTCAAAAGCAAGTTTTGTCCTCATCACCCCAGAAGATTCTACGTAAGAGCAACATGTATTGGCAGTCGAACACTACCTCCTGCTGCGCGTCACACGGCCTAGCCGACCCTTGCTCCATTATTCAGCTCTAGAGTGGCTTAATACCAAAAGTTAAGCATCTTCTGCTACATGTAACATGGCCCTAGCTCCACAGCTCCCTACCGCGCCTTCAAGCATAGCCTTGACAATGCAACATAGCAGCCCAACGACGTCCCGAAGGCAGCCGAGCACATTACCTGCTCCCTCAATGGAGATTTCTGGCATTTGCATGTCGACGGCGCATGAATTCATCGGTCCTTCTCTCGATAACACTACTACAGGAATGATGATTCTCATCATCAAGGAATTGGCCAAATTAATTTAAATTCTATGCAGGTAACCGTGAAATTGATAGAAATGCTTTGACAGAAATGTCTTCTAAACAATTTTTGTAACCCAATAATACTTAGCAAATATTATATTTACCTTCATTGGTAACAGTTAAAAATATCGTATGTAAACTATTATTTCAATTATTGGAATGGTATAAGGACTTAAAAAATTAAAATATGGAAATGTATGATAATGTACCTATAACAGTGTTTAATTGTCAAAAAAAAAATTATGACAATTTTTTTTTAAATTTTCAAGTTGTTAAAAAACATCTAGACGGGTGAAAAAAGGGTAATGGTAAAAAAAAAAAAGATAAACGGGTTAAAAAGGATAAATGGGTAAACGGGTATTAAACGGTTACGGTTAAATGGGTATGCGGTTATGGGTATGGTTAACCGTTTATAAATGGTTATGGGTATGGGTATAACCGTTTAGGCAATTACCCAATGGGTAAACGATTATGCGGGTATGAGCATAAATGGTTATGGGTAAATTAACCGCGGTTACCCGCTCGCATAACCATTGCCCATCCCTACACACAGGTCAGGTTAGATTCGATTCTTATATTAAATTTCTATAACCTAGCCTGGCTCTCTCCATTTTATTTTCAAAAGGATGCAGTCCAATCTTTTCAATTTTAGGCCCGGTTCGGCTTATGCCCATCCCTATATTCCAGTTAGGGATGGGCAATAGTTATGGTGGACGGGTAACCGCGGTTATTTTGCCCATAACCGTTTATGCTCATACTCGTATAACCGTTTACCCATTGGGTAATTCCCTAAACAGTTATACCCATACCCATAACTGTTTATAAACGGTTAACCATACCCATAACCGCATACTCATTTAACTATAACCGTTTAATACCCGTTTACCCATTTACCCATTTACCCTTTTTAACCCGTTTATCATTTTTTTTTACCATTACCCATTTTTCACCCGTCTACATGTTTTTTTTAACAACTTGAAAATTAAAAAAAAATTGTCATAATTTTTTTTTTTGGACAATTAAACACTGTTATAAGTACATTCATCATACATTTCCGTATTTTAATTTTTTAAATTCTTATATCATTCCAATAATTGAAATAATAGTTTACAGAAGATATTTTTAATTGTTACCAATGAAGGTAAATATAGAGATATTATATTCACACACCCCAAATTACTTCTCCCACACCCTTTTAATTTTTTAATATTTTTTTATCAAGTGTTAGTGGTGTGTAAAAAATATTAAAAAAATTAGAAAGGTGTGAGAGAAGTAATTTGAGGTGTGTGAATATAATCTCTCTAAATATAATATTTGCTAACTACTATTGGGTTACAAAAATTGTTTAGAAAACATTTCTGTCAATTTCACGGTTACCCGCAAAGAATTTAAATTAATTTGATGAATTACTTGATGATGAGAATCATTATTCTTGTAGCAGTGTTATTGAAAGAAGGACCAATGAATTCCTTGCTAATTTATTGGGTGCTAAGTATTATTAAATCAAGAACATGATTTGTGTTAGTTTTACATATATAAAATAAATGGGTAAACGGTTATCACTTTATAACCGCGGTTAATACCCATAATCGCCCATTTAAATTTCACAAGTAAACGGTTATATCCATAACCATTTATTTATCTAAACGGTTACCCATAACTATAATCATTTAATTTAAATGGACGGATAACTGCGGTTACCCATAACCAATGAATATTTGACCATCTTTAATTCCAGTGTATCTGTAGGCAGAGACTACAAAGAATTACCCATCAAGTACACCTAAAGAACCAAAGGCACAACCTAATCTTGGGCACGCAAAACTACAAAACGCTGACAAAATAGAAGCGATATTCAACCCAACGGTCTCTAACACAGCCACAGGTAGGTTCCCTCGAAAGCCTTATCTGCTTCTCCTCCTCAAGCTCCGGCCATGGCGTCACTGATACTCGGAGCTCCCCCAGCCCCCTCTCAGTCGCATGCTTTCAACTCCCGCATTTCGTTCTCTCGCTCCGAAACCCTTGCCATTTCTCTCCCCTCCTCCACTGCTTCGCTCTCGCTCTCCACAGCTTCTTCTCCGCCAGTTCCTTCAGGTATACGCAAATTCCAAATCCTCTTTCTCTCTGTGTAACTTGCGCTAATTTTGTTTTGTGCTTCTGCAGTATACTGCGGCAGAGGCGATAAGAAAACCGAAAGGGGAAAGCGCTTCAATCACTCTTTTGGAAATGTAAGTCAAATTTCGAAATTTTCACCGTTTCACATAAAAAAGCTCATGAATTTCATTGAAGTGATGATTTTGTTCTTTTAAAGTTTGAAATTTTTCTGAGAAAGATCGAACATTGAACTGTAGGCGCGGCCGCGGAACAAGAACAAGGGCAGAGGACCACCTAGGGTTCCGGTGCCGCCGGCGCCCCCAAAGAAAGATAAGTTTGAGGACAATACGATTGTCAAAGTTGAAATTGATGAGTCCTTGTCTTAGTTAATTAATGGATCCTCCAATTTGTTTAATTTCTGTTTTTTAATTGTAAGTTATGTATCTTGAGTTTATGTTATGAGGATTTTGATCAAATACTTTTCTTGTTCTTGCTTGAAATTAATGAGTCAAAGCTTTAAATTTCAATTTCCATTAATTAATTAATTAATTTGTAGTTTTCCTTATAGTTTGGGAGGACAATTACCCAGATATGCCTGGGTAGTTCTGTTTCACTTGTTTGTGTTACTGTCTTGTCTTTTTGGACACAAAATCTTCTTGGAAAGATATGGAAGGAAAAACAAATGTTTTCATATCGCCGGCTTTCGACATTCTTTATAGTTTATAAGGGAGTTCATCGCCGGCTTAGTCCCATCTGTTGGTGTTTTCCTGCCCTATTCTGCTTCTTCTTCATAAATCTGCACCTTGTCTGTTCCTTTTGTACAATCCTAGTACCCTGGATCTTTAGGATTAGGATGAGTTTGTCGGAAATAACCGAAGAGAAGGATGATGATGAGATCGGGTTTTTGGCTGATCCAGAAGCTCAGAAGGAGAGGATAAGGCAGATTATAGAGTATCAGAAGTCGCTTCATCAGTCTTCATCTTCTTTGTCTTCCTTGTCTTCCTCTTCTGCTTCCTGGTCGTCATTTTCTTCAGCTCGAAGAAGTAGCAGTTTGTTAGGTTTGATGAAAGTAGGAAACACATCTTTGAGGATATTGTTTGACATGGAGCATCCGACTTTGGGGAACCATTTCGAGGATTTCAGTGGATCCTCGATAGTTAAGCCTATCCTTCTATGGGCAGTGATACAGATGATGAGAACGAAACCCGTGACCCCTGGGAATCCATCAAACAGCTTAGACCAATAGAGGGTTCTAGGATTGATGATGGACAGGATAAATTTGCTTCAGATGGTAGCTTCTTGGGTGGAGATTATGGCTTTCAGGATAGAGATGTAAGAATCGGCGCCCGCAGATTGACTAGGACAAAGTCGTTTAGAAGATTGCCAGGATTTGGATTATGGAGATGCAAAGGATTTAGATTTAGATTGAGATTAAGGCGGCTTACGATCGCTTTTAGTAGAAGAAAATGTTGATATTAGCTGCATACTTGTAATACAAACCACATATATTTATATATAAATGAAAAGGTTAACTTCGATTAACATATTGAAACTGGGAACTTCTTAACTTGTTTACAGAATCTGAGATTTACAAATTATATTCAAACAATGATCTTAATTATAGTGGGGCTAAAAACTCAAAATAAAAAACGAAGTTTGTGTGATCGGAAAAAAAAAATGAATGAAAAAACCGAAAGACTAATTTCCGGTCTGCCACTTTGTCGCAGATTGAAGATGCTTCACCATTTATTTGATTAAAATTCTTGAAGAACTGTATATGTCGTTGCAAATGATACAGCGATCGGAGATCAATCTCTGCATAATGCTTCCTTCTTCAACTACTTCTCTGCTGCTTTGCTTGTTCCATAGGTGTACTCCGTAAGTCTCCCCGTTAAGCTGAAGCAGCTTTTCTCTTATCCATCGAGAATGAGCCGGACTTCCTGGCTTCTTAAACAATCCTCCGATCCTACTCCAATCGACGGGGTAAAAGGCGAGAGGGGGTAGAATCGTGAAGTTATAACCGGGTCGGTTTTGCACCCTCAGGACCACTCTGGAAACAAGGTAGGGACCATTATGCCCCCATTTATTCCCATCAAAAGTGAGGGCAAATTCCTCCATGAATTTGTACAGAAGGGGATGATTCATATCAAAGATCAGAACTGCATTGTTTAATCTGGTCCAGTTCTTCGAAACCACATCCACACTTTGTGCACCGATCGAGTTTCTCAATCCGAAGAACGATTTCAAGACGATGAAGTCTGTGTCTAAATAAACACCTCCATACTTATACAGAACTGCGAGTCTTATCAAATTAGACAGGTTCTGGGCTAATGGAATCTCACCAGGGTCTCTCTTGCCTCTCTTCATCTCAGCAAACCAGGATTCTGCCGGCGTGTTTTTCAACAGAAATGACAAGTCAGGTGTCACAGCATGAACTTTGAACCCGCTATCCTTCAGCGGTTTCAGAATTCTGTAACCGCACTTGGAGTCCATAGTTCTCGATAGAATCATCAAACATCCGCGAGGGTGGGCTTTGAAGAGACTCTCCATTGTCAAGAACTCTCTGCTCCCAAAAGACCTCGCCGGCGAAATCCATGTCATAAAGAACTGACCCTCACACTCCTTGTTAAAGAATTCCAGAACACGGCCATGGAATTGCTTTGCAGACTTGTCTGACTTGAAAATGTGAAATTCCGACAGCATGCTTCGGAACCAAGCAATTCTTTCTTCTTCTGTGACATTTAAAGGAGGAACAAGAGGCCTTGTGTTTTCTTTACCAACTTCAATGGTCTCCTCCTGCATGGAACGCAGAACTAAGTGACTTACATCAGACTTGATCAATCCGCCTGCAGAATTATGATGATAACTCTGCAGCAACGGAGAAATCGCCTCGTTCTTTGACGCCACTGACTGTTCCGAGTCACCATAGATAATACTATCGGCATAGACGAGGACGATGATTGCAACAATTAAATGAGTACAGAAGATGGGAAATTTGGCAAGGCTAAGGCGGCGGCTGTCGATTCGAGTCATGGTCATTGTCAGAGGAGCGGCAGCGTAGGGAAAGAAGTGAAGTTGAAGAGATATAGCTCGAGAGGAACTTTCATGGCGAATAGACCAAAGTATGACGACAGACACGCTTATACAAAAGAAATGTTGGTTGCAGGCTTTATATAGTTCAATGTTTGAGTTTGAACATTCAATAATTTGACTTTTTAGTAAAAGTCAAATGTACCTGCCTCTAAAACTATGCTCTCAGCATTGTGTGGATACCTTGATACATAATTGGCATCGTAAATGATTAGTTAGTACTAATCTGGTACTGAGTTGCTTTTATAAAAACTGGGTATTAAAAAAAGTTGAGCTCAAAAAGGTGTTTAGTAAACACTTAAAAACAACTTATTTTCACAGTTTTGGGTGAAAAAAAGCTAAAAACGTGAAACAGCAAAAATGAACTTATTCTCACAGCACAACAAAAATGAGCTTATTCTCATAGCACAGCAATACCAAAACAGTCCTTAGTCTATCAATACTTTGTTTTATTTAGGTGGAAGATATCTCAAATTTCATTCACATGTATGTAAGGTTGATATATTGTTAGTGTAGGAGAATCCGTTCAGGATTCTGTTGGGCTATGTATTGTAAATCCCCATGAATTTAGGATTACTTGTATCTCAAGTCAATTGACTAATATATATTTGTAATATTGCGTTACGATGACATCAAGGAATTACAATTCGACATAGTATTACTAGCTTAGGTTCCCTTTTCCTAGTAAAGCCCTAGTCTTCTTCCCCTTTCTTCTACCTTTTGCCGTCGCCCTTAGGTCAATTTTCTCCAAATTTTTGCTTTTTGCCGTGCCACCTACTCCCTATTCCCCTTGACTACGCAAGCCTCTTCAAGTCTTCATCCTCTACTCTAGGTGGATCCCCTCTCAAGTCAATTGACTAGTATATATTTGTAACATTGCATTACCAATGAAATCAAGGAATTACAATTCTGCATAGTATCACTAGCTTTAGGTTCCCTTTACTAGTTAAACCCTAGTCTCCTTCCCCTTTCTTCAACCTTTTGCCGTCCCCCTCGGTCAATTTTCTCCAAACTTTTGCTTTTTGCCGTGCAACCTATTCCCTATTCCCCTTGACTACGCAAGCCTCTTCCTCTCTCCGGTTTTAACGTTGCTCATTTTCTGAAACTCACAGATTCCAACTATCTCCTTTCGCTTAGTCAGATGAAGCCATTTCTTCTTGGTCACAATTCTACATATATAGTGGAGAAGCAGGTCAAATGTTTGAGTTACATGCGAGGTTTATATATATATATATATATATAGAGTGAGTGATATTTTTTTTTTTAACAAACGATATTATCTACACTAAGGGAATGTAGGTTTAGCCTCACAATGGACTAGCAATAATGTGGTTCAAATTCACATTTGACGAAAACCGAACCTAAAACCTCTCACTTACAAGTGAAGAAGAATATATACTACTAGACCGTAGTACTAAGTGACTACAGTGAGTGATATTTAGACATACATAATTGACACACTCCAATATAAATAAATTCCACAAACAACAGTAAGATCTGTGTCTATTAGACAATGTGTCAAAAAATGAGTTAATTTTGTATGTCTATGTATAATTATCGTCTAAACAAATTATATGTGGCTCATTATGACTTGTGAAAGGATATTTGTATCTCCTAAAATGAATAATAAATATTGAGGGTCCATGAGATGAGATTATCAATAATTAAAAGATGGTGATGGAAACATGTTTTGCGATTATTTATTGATTAGGCAATTGCCCCATTGCTTTATTTTTCAATGAGTTACAAAGATAGCAAGACCTACCATGGTATTTGTGACCAACCCATACATTAGAATTAAAATTGTAATCTCATCAAAGCACAAAGGAAGACCATTCCTTGAAATTAAATTGTTTACCTTAGAAAAAGGGGTAACCAAAATTATTGGATTATTTAACTTAGCCATGTTCTTGGTGTATTTCCCTCCTTATACGTCCATTTTTTCTGTAGACCTAGAGAGGGGGATATATTACATACGGTTTATAAAACAATGGATTTATACAATTGTCTTGTGTCTCATTCCTTATTCTTTTGTTGCCACCCTTTTATATTGGGATTGAGAAATTATTTATTCCTGGCAGACAGACATAAATTTTCTTCATCCACAATGAAATCTTTTGTGTAGAAATTCTTACACACAATCCGAAATATTTTTTCTTAGTTACAAAAAACGAAACATGCCAGTAAAGTTTTCCTTTCGTGTTATACAGCATCTCTTGTAGACTTGATACGATCAAATCCATTTCGAGGTGTAAAGAAATTCTTACATACAATTAAGAATAATACTATTTTGATTTACATTTCTCATCACGTGACACATAATACAATAGTTAGGTGGCGGATGTATATGGGGACCAGCGTGGTCTAACGACCACCCTGAGTCTGGGAAAATATACGTGTGAAGGTCTTTTGAGGATTCTTTGAATGTTTGGTATGGTCCTCTTTGTGCTCACCAAGTATTTGATATAATATATGCTAGGTATATCTCGATAGCACTTGATAAGTTGAGTCGAGAGCACTCGGCAAATTCTCTCGATAACATTCATTAGGTTGCTTCGACATATATTGATATTTGTTAACATGTGCATAACATGGTTTGGTTGACGACAACAAACCTACCAAATGTTCAACGAAATACCTCAATAAATAAACTAAATTTTTTCTTACGCGCATCGCACTCTGTTTCTATTAAAATAAAAACAGAAAATCACAACTCATTGTAAATCACACCTCGGTGAATACACTAGATTTTTCTTACGCGCATCGCACTCTGTTGCTTATAAATACAAGTGCACATAAGAATAATGTTTAACAATACTATTTTTAAGATGGTGACTGATGTTTCAATTATTAGGTAAATCACAACTCATTGTAAATCATATATGATTTTTTTTGTCTACCATTTTCCGAATGAGAAAGTATGTTGAAGGGCTTTTTACTATTACTGATATCAAAACTACAATAAATAACGTGTGCACATAATTACAATATAGTTTGTTAGCTAATTAATATGATCCACGCAGACCTATTTGTCAACTATTGTGATTTTCTCGCTAATTAGTGCAGTATATATTTTTTTTCATTTAATTTAGGAAGTTTTAACGTAATACTTATGGTACTGTTCACTTTTAACGAAAATGATATTTTTACTTTAAAAAATCACTTCTGACACTATTCACTTACAACACATTTTTGTTATTTTAATTAAAATTCAAAATTTTCAAATTATTTTCATTAGTTGTTCTTTTAATTTATCGATCAAGAGAGGTCGCATCCGACTTTTGGAACATGCAGCAAAATTATTCAAGTCTTATTTTTAAGCAACGTACGTCCTCGCCTCTAATTACAATTATGTAGTGCCATCAGAAAAATACGTATATGATTCGATTCAAGGGGTTGCGTCTCTGCATGCAACTTGTGACTTCTTTTTGCATTGGGCATTAAATTAATCCTTATGCAATTATTCGGCTATTACTTGGCTGATTCACGTTATTCAATCTTAAAATTTTATGTTATATGGCAGATAAAATGTCCTTATTAATGAAATTATTTTCTTCCATTCATGATACATAAATACTGTATAAGAAAAGGTATAAACCAGATAGGATGGGGTCTTGGAAGGCCCCAAAAAAACACATTGCTAGAACGTAGGAAACCAGCATGGTCAGGAAAATTCCAAGGTTGCATTGCGATATGTAGTGATCAGGAAGCTCGTCAAAACTTAAGCGCGGGAACGGCTCCCCAGTTTTGATTATTATGCTGAGAACCGTCCACTCACATGTAAGCGATTGTAAGTGAGAGGATTTATGCTCGATTTTCACCAAAGTGAATTTGAACAACATTGTTGCTAGTAAAGAAAGTTGTGGTTCTACTTTAAAACCAATTGACAATATGAGAAGTAATTCAACCTCTTATAAGTCTATGCAAGGTCCATCATCTCATCAATGTGAGACTCATTCTCAATAGCTAGTCTATTGTGAGGTTAAGGGCCCACCTCTTATCCCCTTTAGTATAGATAATATTATTTATTTAAAATATAACTGAATAACGAACTAGTAAATAACCAAAAGTCAATTTCAGTAGAAACATCTATTTTGTGTATACATGATCACTAATAATAAGACATAACTCCCTAATTATTGTTTAATATGACCAAATAACTGAACTATCAGATGTGGAAAAGTTGAACAAACCAGAAATGGTCCTTATTAAGAAAAACACTTGGCTCCTTAGATTGAGGAGAAATTTCTCCTTAAAGTACTTCGTTGCGTATTCAAAGAATATCGTGCTTATGATAAGAACGGTTCATATTATATATACGTCACTCTGTAAACATCAACTCCACAAAAAAAATAATAATAAAACTAAAATTGTTGAGTAATTGAATTGTATAAAAATATATGGATAGATTTGGTAAATGCATTACGAACCGTTCTTTTACTACAATTGATTGACTAAACTTAAGTATTTTGAGGAGGACCTCCTCCTCAACCTTAAGGAGCCAAGCTCTTCTCCGTTTTTAATATTGAGAGTTTATATACATAACCTCCTCCTCAACCTTAAGGAGCCAAGCTCTTCTTTGTTTTTAATATTGAGAGTTTACATACATATATATATATATATATATATATATATATATATATATTAACCTATTGACAATATATGAGAGCTTAAATTGATAGCTAGGAAGGGTTTCAATTATATAAAGAACAAAAACAACTGCCAAATGAAAAGAAGCTTACGATCATGGAAGAAAATGCCGATAATATCGGCGAAATATCGCCGATATTATCGGTTTTTCGGGTGATGGATATTCTAAGTGGTATCCGAATGGTTTTCGGCCAAATATTGCGATATTTTGGAAATATCGGCGAAATTTTTTTGAGTTTGGTGCAATCGGACTCCGAGGCGACGTCGGAGAAGAACGCCGGAGACGGTGTGCCTATTCCCGGGCCGATTTCGTCCCAAAAACCTTGCAAAAACACGAATTTTAACATCAATTTCACATATAAACTTCAGATTTCACGCATGCATAAACGATTCAACATATGTGAAGTCGGTTTAGGGTTTAGGGTTTCAATGGAATCTCACCTGACGAAGACGAAGACGAACCAGATGACTGAACGTGATCCTTGCTCAGCGGCGCACCGCCAGAGACGACTGAGCCAACTCTGACTTCGCCAGAGCCACGATCAACGGCGAAGGGAGAAGAGAGATCGAGAGATCTGTGTGTGTGTGTGTGTGTTTGGGAGAAGAGAGATCGGAGATCTCTCTTTGTATGTGGGTGTTTGGGAGAAGAGAGATCGGAGAAGGGAGAAGAGAGATCGGAGAATGGAGAAGAGAGATCACCAATCTCTGTGTGTGTGTGTGTGTGTTTGGGAGAAGAGAGATCTCCGATCTCTGTAGATGGAGGGTGTGTGCGTGTGTGTGTGTGTGGAATGAGGGAGAAGTGTGTGTGTGTTATCCGAGAGAAAGAAAAAAATACATTGAGGGTGTGTGTGTGTGTGTGTTTGTGGCACACGGTTTGACACATGGTTTTGTATAAAACCATGGTTTTGTGTGTGTGTGTGTGTTCACGTGTATGGTTATGTGTGTGTGTGTGTTATCCGAGAGAGTTTTGGCACATGGTTTTGTATAAAACCATGGTTTTGTGTGTGTGTGTGTGTGTGTGTGTGTGTGTATGGTTATGTATGTGTGTGTTATTCGAGAGAAAAAGAAAAAAACTTTGAGGATGTGTGTGTGTGGCACACGGTTTTGTATGAAAGAATTGGAAGTGACTTTGCTCAGAAGAACCAAATATTCTGTCAGAGAAGAACCAAAAAATCTGCTTACTTTATCTTCTTCTCCACGTGAAGACCAAATTCTGTCAGAGAAGAACCAAAAATGCAATGTATAAAGTGTAAAATATTGTACTAATTCATTATATATAAATGATTATGGTGTGTTTAGACTTCTTTCATTAATTACTACATATTTTCTACACTCACAATGTTTGTCAGCTCGCTATATAATCAACTTGATAATGTTAAATCCATCATGCAATGCATTTCCTTCCAATTTTTTGTGATAAACTAATAGATAATTGACTAAATAAACATCCTGCAAAGTTTCAATAAAAATTTCCAAGTTTTTCTTACAATTTCCGTGGTTTCCATGTAATTTTTATCGATATCGATATTATCCCGATATTTCCATCGATATTTCCGTGTTTTCGGACTACCGATATTTCCGATATTACCGATATTTTCTTCCTTGCTTACGATAACATAGAGAGCGCCTAATTTATTTTTCCAAGACAATTATTATAATATTATATATTAGATAATTGATACTCTTCCTATCGACACCTTTAACATGTCACCCTCAGTACTAGCCAAATAATTGCGTTAAATATATAAATTTTGGTTAATAGTGGGTGGACATTTATTACAAAACCAAACAAAAAAGGCATGGACTATCTTGTAGTTTTTAGCATCTTAATGTGTAATTGCCTTGTATTTAATCCTTTTCAAAAATAAGAATTTAGCTCGAGGAGATTGTATACTGATGCAAAAACTTTACCTTTATTTCAAAAACCCTGCATGAAAACGGATATATATATGTGTGTGTATTTATATATATATAGATATCCAGGTGTATGCCAGAATCTGGAGTAATATGATAGTAAGACAAAGGTTTTGTGAATTTATTTGATTCAATTTTGCAAGCTGAATGTGAAAAGACTCCTCCCAGTATTAGCTGACAATGCGCTTAGATGTAAGATCTATTCTGTGTACAGAAATTATAAAACTGTTAGCAAAATGGTAGCCTCTTATGAGCTGCAAATATCTTGGCCATGTTAATTATTTGAGACAGGCTGATGTCAACTCAAACCCTAAATAAACTGGTCCACATAGTAAAGCGCCTTATCATTCTAACGCTTCTTCAAACAAATACAGTAGATGATAATATAAAATAAGTTTGTGATGCAAAACTAAACGGACTAGGATCCTCTCCTGAGCTAAGGATGAGGATCCTACTGATCAAAGAGTGTGAGTCGTTGGATGATCCAACGGTTACAAACAGGATGTCCCTTTAGAATTATAATAATTATAACCGTTGGATTTCCAACGGTCCACACTCCTTGATCAAGAGGATCCTCATCCTTAGCTTAGGAGAGGTTCCCGGTCCAAAACTCAGATTAGGCCTTAATATTTCCAAACTCGTCTTAATCGATCTTTGGCGTGCTTCCCCACTTCCAATTAACAACTCTAATCTCCATATGGTGAAATTAACAATCTGGCCCTAGTGATCAATGGAGTGATGCTTGGGTACAGACGGCCGTCCAGGACACCAAAAGTAACCAAGCACAAAGGGATGGGATCAAGATACAAGTGGGGATGTTTCGGAGGGCAGTCGGATTACGGCCGCGTTGTTTGGATATCCGCATTTAAGAATTTCTCCGGTTGATGGGGCTGCTGATAGGAAACAAATAAAATAACAACAAAGTCTTATCCCACTAAGTGAGATCAACTATATATATATGAATCTTGGCTGCTGTTTTGTGCCATGTTTCCCCTTAGATTCAAGTAGTTCAAGTCTTTTTTTTAGAATTTTTTCCCAAGTCTTCCTATACCTCTTTGACAGTGAGGCTATGTCTCGTAATCGCATCTCCTCACTGAATGAAGACAAATCCACTACAATATTAACCCAATAATGAAGAATCAGAGTCCTCTTTTCGAACACTGCATTCAACAAAATCACAATTAAAAAAAAGCAAAATGAAATCTGTAATCAGATTTGCAACAAAATGGAGCTTTCGTATACTTGCTGCATGAAACTTCTGTTTAAATTCCTTCCCGGGTTCTTTCTCTTATGCATGATCACGTGCCCGGAATTCGTCTTTGGAAACGAATCTGACCGCCTCGCTCTGCTGGACTTGAAGAGAAGAATAACAAATGATCCTCTCCATATCATGAACTCGTGGAATGATTCGACAGATTTGTGCAGTTGGATTGGCGTTACATGCAACGTTTCAAACAAAAGAGTCGTGATCTTGAACTTGGAAGCTCAAAAACTGGTAGGCTCCATACCACCTTCTATCGGAAACCTTACTTATCTTACTGGAATCAACTTCATAGACAACAATTTTTATGGTGAAATTCCTCAAGAATGGGACGTCTAGCAAGCCTGAAATACCTCAACCTGTCTTCGAATTCCTTGGGCGGGAAAATTCCAACTAATATATCTCGCTGCACGCAGCTGAGAATGTTTGATGTTGGTGCAAATAAGCTTATTGGGTCAATTCCGGACCAACTCAGTTCGTTGTTGAATTTAACTCATTTTTGGGTTGATGACAACAATCTCATTGGAGCAATTCCGGATTGGATAGGAAACTTTTCTTCCCGGTACGCAATCTCTCTTGCTTACAACAATTTTAAGGAAGCATACCAAATGCTCTCGGGCGGTTGACAAGCTTGGGAAGATTCATAATTCCATCAAACAAACTTTCCGGTACGGTTCCTTCTTCAATCTATAATATATCGTTGATATACTATATTACAGTTACTCAGAACCAGCTGCATGGAGAGCTCCCACAGAATGTGGGGACTACTCTTCCTAATCTTGAGATATTTGCTGGCGGTATCAACAAATTCACCGGAAGTATTCCTGTTTCGTTGTCAAATGCTTCTAAACTTCTATTTCTTGATTTTGCCGAAAATGGCCTCACGGGAAAACTCCCTGCTGAAAATTTTGGAAGTTTGAGAAGCTTGTTGAGACTAAACTTTGACGACAATAGGCTTGGAAGTGGGAAAACAGGTGACCTGAATTCTCTCAGTTTCCTGGCGAATTGTACTAATCTTGAGGTGTTGAGTTTTAGTCGTAATCGTTTTGGAGGAGAATTGCCAGAATCCATAGCCAACCTTTCGACGAAACTGAGAATTTTTACAATGGGTGGGAATTTAATACATGGAAGCATCCCTTTCGGCATTGTGAATCTTGTAAACTTGACCAGTCTAGGAATGGAACAAAACTCTCTTGGTGGTACTGTCCCTGATGCAATCGGAAAGCTTCAGAAGTTGCAGGGGATGTATTTATATCTTAACCAATTTTCCGGGACAATCCCATCGACGCTAGGCAACTTGACTTCGGTCACAAGGCTCTTCATGGAGGGGAATAGGTTTGAGGGAAGCATACCTCCAAGTCTTGGGAGCTGCCAAAACTTGTTGATGCTTAACCTTTCTAGTAATCAGCTAAGTGGCACCATACCTAAAGAGGTTATCGAGCTTTCATCCCTTTCAATTTCTTTGTCCATATCGAACAGTTCTTTGACTCGTTCTCTACCATCTGAAGTGGGCGAGTTGGTACATCTCTCGGAGCTAGATGTATCAGGAAACAAGTTATCAGGTGAAATCCCCAAAACCCTTGGCAGCTGTGCTAGTTTGGTGCGTCCATATTTGGAAGGTAACGAATTTGAAAGAACAATTCCTCAATCTCTGGCCAAGTTAAGAGGCTTGGAAGAACTTGATATTTCATGCAATAATTTATCTGGCCAGATTCCTGACTTTTTGGGTAAGCTTGGATCTCTACAGCAACTCAATGTTTCACATAATCAATTTTAGGATGAATTGCCCTCGGAAGGGATATTTTCAAATGCGAGTGGTTTCTCGATTCTTAGAAATAATAAGCTCTGTGGTGGCATCCGAGAATTACTTCTACCTGTATGCACCAGCAAAAAATCTAAATCATCTCGAGGACTACTTTCCCCAAAAGTAATAATCCCTCTAACTTGCGCACTTGCATTAATAATTACTCTCATGTTTCATTGCTGCTTGTGCAAAGGTGAAAAGTCAAGAAGTTGACCTTTAACTTCACGCACCGATGAGGACTCGAAATCATGTGTCTCTTATTTACAACTCTTTGAATCAACCAACGGGTTTTCAAAGGAAAATCTCATTGGTTCGGGAAGTTTTGGTTCCATATACAGAGGAGTACTTTCTAGTGATGGCGGTAGTAGCTGTTAAGGTGTTAAACCTTCAACAAGAAGGAGCTTCCAGGAGTTTCATTGATGAATGCAAAACTTTAAGAAGTATAAGGCACTGCAATCTTCTCAAGATCATTACTGCATGCTGTATTTTTCAGTTAAAAACTAAGTTGCAAAACATTACGAAGGGAACATATTCAGTTTCAACATATTTGCAACGAATTAAAGATGTGAGGGATCATCTTTCTGCAGCTGGTGTAACATTTGGAGATGATGATATTGTGAAATTGGCACTGAAAGGTTTGCCTTCTGAAATATAATACCTTCAGGACAGTTATAAGAGGCAAGGAAAATGTGATCACTCTTAAGGAGTTTCGATCCCAATTGTTAGCTGAGGAAGCAACTACTAAGCAACATTCAGTTTCTGAGTCTTTTGTTACTGCAATGGTTGCACAAGAAACATCAGGCAAAGGCAAAGCTCTTATGTTAGGAGAAGAGCCTTCCAGTGGTTCCTCACAGTCACAGGCTTATAGTGGTGGTTCAACTAATGGTGGCTACAATAATCATTCCTCTAACTACAATGGAGACTATATTTCGAATGGTTTTCAAGGAAGAGGTAAGGGCAGGATCAATTTTCACTCCAATTCAAGGTATAATGCAAGATCTTCTAATCCAAGTACTAGAATTCTTGGAACTACCAAACCTCATGTTTCCACTTGTCCCGAGTATGGTTATGAAGTTCCTACATGTCAAATATACAACAAAAAGGGTCACATTGATGTAGATTGTTTTTAGAGACATTCCTCTACAACTTCAACACCATCCAAAGTTCAATGCCAAATTTGCTGGAAGTTTGGGCACACTGCAGTTCAATGTTATCACAGGGGAAACTTCACTTATCAAGGCAGATCACCATCTTCCAATCTCTCTGCAATGCACATTGCATTTTCTCTTTCTGCACCACAAGAAACAATTCTGGGTTGTTGATACTAGGGCTACTTCTCATATAACCTCGGATCTCTCCAATCTTAATCTAGCAACACCATTTTCATTTTCTCGCAATGATACAGTAACAACTACAAGTGGCTCAGGTTTGCCAATCTCTAATACAGGCTATACTACTCTTCATAATCCTAAGTATGCTTTCGAGTTAAAGAAAATATTATCACAACATTTTTTATTTATATATCGACTATGTAAAGATAACAAATGTCGATTCATTTGTGATGAGTTTTGTTTCTGGATCCAGGACAAGATCACAAGGAAAATCCTCCTTCAGGGACTGTGTAGAGAAGGTCTCTATCCTATACCCTTTCACATTCCATAGCATCTCATCACTCAAGCACAAAAATACAATGCATCCTTTCAGCAACAAACATGTTATCTTGGCAGTCAAGTCAAAATAAATTTGGGGCACCAAAGACAAGGACATCCTTCCAACATTGTTACTTCTGCAATGTTAAAACAATCCAACATTCATACATCTTTAGATCATGTGTCTTCAATTTGTAAATCTTTTTTGGAAGGCAAGTTTGCCAAGCTTCCATTTGTGTTACAACCTCTAGAGATCATATATAGTGATGTTTGAGGTCCTTCATCCATTGTTTCCATTGAAGGTTATAGATTCTATGTAAGTTTTGTGGATGAATGTACCAAGTTTACTTGGATTTTCCCCTTAGTAAATAAAACTGAAGTTTTTGGTGTATTTGTCAACCTTCACAGTTTTTTGGTTACTCAATTTTCTACAAATGTGAAAGTATCTCAAAGTGATGGTGGGGGTGAATACTCCAATCACAAATTCAAACAATACCTACTAAAAAAATGTATAATTCATCAGAAGTCAAGTCCATATGCCCCTAAACAAAACGGTCTAGCTGAAAGGAAGCATAGACACATACTTGAAACAGCCATTACTCTACTTCAAACAGCAAAGTTACCACCTAAATTTTGGTTTCATGCTTGTGTCATTTTTGTTTATCTCATAAATAGAATGGTATGTCAAACTCTTCATATGTCATCTCCCTTTCAATGCTTGTTTGGAACCCCACCCTCTATATCTCATCTTAAAGTCTTTGGCTATGCTTGTTTCCCACTTTTAAAATAGTTGAACTCTAGTAAGTTGCAACCTAAAACCTCACAATGCATATTCATAGGCTATGCATGCCAGTATAAAGGTTATCTTTGTCTCTTATAAACAAAATATATGTCTCAAGACATGTTTTGTTTGATGAGACAAACTTTCCTTATTCATCCATCATTACCTCCAACCATGCATCACCACTCACTACATACACATCATCATAATTACAACCAACAATTCCTTCTTCACTAGTCAATTCACATAACAATATCATTTCAACTGCTACTACCACTAATGCCTTAGAGTGTTCCATGTCCATACTTGTTAATACTTTGGGATCTATGGAATCTCTCCCTCATCATTCATCATTTGCTTCATCAATTGCAGATACTACACAGTCCCCAATCCCTGTTGATCTTAATTTTCAACTTGAAAATCTGTCAGTTGTCCTTCTCATACCCTCGGTGAGTTTGCACCCTATGCAAACTCGATCTAAAAGTAGCATATCCAAGAAGAAGGTGTTCTCAGCTACAGTTAAGTCATCTACACAAGTTTGAAAACCTGCAACTTTTAAGTCTACTAGTAAAATACCAGAATGGATTGCTGCTATGGAAGATAAGATCACTGCCTTGAAATCTCAAAATACTTGGTCTATAGTTCCATTGCATCTAACAAAAACTTAGTACGCTGTAAGTGGGTCTATCGTATCAAAACCAATCATGATGGTTCAATGGCAAGATATAAAGCAAGCTAATTGCAAAAGACTATAACCAAGAGGAGCGAGTTGATTACAATGAGACTTTTAGTCCTGTAGTGAAACCTACCACAGTTAGGTTAATTTTGGCATTAGCATCTTAGTTTAAATGGTCCTTAAGGCAAATGGATGTGAAGAATGCATTTCTTCATGGTGATCTGCATGAAGTGGTGTATATGTAAGATCCCAAGAACTTATTATTGAAGAAGAGAAATATTTGAAAAAAAAAATATATTGTGCTTATTTATTGAGAAGATGGTGAACGTCATTACGAGTTTGTAACATCTTTCGGATTACTTTTAGGAACTTGAATGAATTTTTAAGATAATTTCATGTTGTACCAATGTGTCGATGACGCAAGACAGCTTACAAGTGATGGAATTAGCCACGTGGAGATCAATTAGACGGCCACCTTCCGCAAGAGAACCTAGTAGCTTATTCATGGTTATATATTGATAAGCTCCACCATGCTGCTAATTTATAAGAATTATCAAGAAGCCTTGTTGTCAACTTTGGATTGGCATACAAGGATGACTATTGGAAGTTACAGGTTGGACGTGGCATTAAGTAGTTCTATGAGCATCTACAGTGATTTTAAACCAAGTATTTGAGCTGCTTGTAAGTAGCCTTGCAGCTGAAGGTGGCAAGAGCGGTGTCAATGCTTTTATCATGCAATTGACACCACTTGCATGTAGACTTTCTTTGCCTCTATGTCAACCAATGACAAGCTAATTGGAGCAACCATTTCCCTATAAATAGGGACTTCATTCTTTTGGTTTTGGTTACCAACTAGTGCACGGGTTGGACGCTGTAGTGAGATATATGGCTACATGCAAGCATGCATGTTAAGCCTTTGTAGAGAAGAATTTTTTTTGTTAATCTTTCGAAATTCGTAACTTTCAATCCAAAATTTCGATTGAGGAATAGTTTTCGTCTACATGTTCAGTGAATCGAGCTCAACATTCTAAGGTAAATTTTGAGGAATTATTATTTAGGTTTGAATAATTCGTTCAAATTGGGTTTATGACTAATTAGGCTTAAATCTTCGATTCAAGCTTGTTCTTGCATAATTTGAGGGCTTTGAAGCCTATTTGATGACTGGACAACGATTTCTCAGACATTAAGGTAAAGATTTACATATGATCAGATTTTTGGGATTTTTGTACAAGTTTCATATGGATGAGATTTAGAAAAAAAATTGATGTTTGACTCGAAATTCATCAAATTTAGTCCTTAAAGGACGTTTGTATGGAAGAAGTGAGTTGTACTATTGATGGATTGTGTTTTGGCTTGAAAGATATGTTGAATTTCTGGGAAAATAGACCTCAAAGCCACTGGTTTCATACCAGGGACTGAACTACAAAAATAGTTTTAGTTTTGGGGTAATTGTGTAAATTACTAAAAGTTTGGGGTCCAAAGTGCAATTATCAAAAATTTTGGGATCTATTTGAAATAATAAAAAGTTCAAATACATAATTTTTATTCTGGTTAAGTGAAGGTCCCTATTGGATATAGTTGTTGTTATGGGAATAAAGTTTAGTCATTATATATGGACATATAGTGGCATATTGTAATTGTTGAACTAGGGACTCCAATTACTCGTAGTGCTTGCGTTTAATCGAGGTATTGGTGAGGAATATTGCTTGCTTGGCTTGGAGACCAGGTAGGAGAATCCTCACTTACCCTAGTTATGGAATTTTGTGCATGTATGTATATGTAAATATACGAATGCCTATGAAAGCTACATAGATTTTGTTGTGATAGAACCATAAGGAAAAATGGTTTTGTTTTATATCATGATATACATGTTGTTTTATGCTACAAATTAAAGTGATGACTTGAGAGTGAAGGGGGCATAGCGACCGCCTTGGGTTTCGATCCCCTAAACCTCCGGAGGGGATACTACAAAGGGATTAGTATCGCTACCTTTCTAGGAGAGGTACTAGGACATCTAAGGGTAGAGCATTAAGGGACACTCTCGCTACAACTTACCATAAGTATATTCGTTCGGAGTTGGTCCAGGTAAGCGAGTAGTTGGTCATTAGACTGGTCATCAGGCATGTAGCAATTTATTGGGATCCCTATTGTTTTTTTAAAGGAAATTGTGTGAGCATATAACCTATTTTCAAAACTAAACAAAGCTTTTGTTGTGCATCAATCATTTTCCTATAGTATATATAGTGTCGTATACTATTTTCAAACCTAGCTGGGGTGGATTCCCTGAGGGGGAACGATGAACGTTTGTGATGCTTACCATTACTTTATTACAGGTCTGGTGCACCTATAAGTAGACGAACTGGACAAAAGTCGGGACTAGCGTTGTTTGTTACTTGTCAACTTCTCAGTTGTTCATAGCCTCATCGTCTTGAAGGGATTTTTGTAGCCAAACTCAACGTTTTGCATTTTCAAATCGTACTAAAGAGTTGGTTTAGTATGATAATTACCTTAAACTCTTTGGTTTTGTTGTAGATTGTGAAATTCTTTTCCTATGTAAAAATTTTATCCAAATTCAGTTGCCCTTTTATTCTTCGTTTTACCAATATAATTTCCGCTTCCGTACTGCTCAAAAATAAATTATTTTATTCCCCTCAAATAGCCTTACGTTCTATTAGGAATGTAGTGCTATAGTGTTAGATTTTAACACTATAGTATTAAGTTACTAATAGAGCATGGCATTATTACGTGCCTCTTTTTGGGGCGTGACAGTATATGTCTCAACCACAAGGCTTTGAAAGTTCAATTCATCCCTCTCATTATGTTTGCAAACTTAGGGAGTCACTTTATGGTTTGAAACAAGCTCCCCGAGCCTGAAATGAAAAATTTACAAGCTTTTTACCATGGTTGGGATTTAAGGCTTCTCTTGCAGACCCATCATTGTTTTGTGCAACACACTCATCTTGGTACTATTGTTCTCATTTTATATGTGGATGATATCATCCTAACTGGCAGTTTATCTCAGTTGATTGATAAAGTTGTTTAAGCATTAACTAAGGAGTTTGACATGAAGGACTTGGGTCAATTACACTATTTCTTGGGGATACAGATAACATATCAGTCTCATGGTCTCTTTGTTTCCCAAACTAAGTACAAAAAGGACTTGTTCAAAAAGGTTGGTTTGCAAGATTCAAAACCTAGTGCCACACCATGTTTGCCTTATCACAGGTTATCTAAAACTGAGGGCACTCCTTATCACAGTCCACAACAGTATCGAAGCATTATGGGAGCCTTGCAATACTTAACCTTTACAAGGCCTGATATTGCCTTCTCTGTTAATCAATATTGTCAGTTCATGCATAACTATAACAACCCGTCTCGGATATTTAGGAACATATGGGTATTGTGGTAAATTCAATTGGGTTATGGGATATTTGTTTAAAATATATTATTTTTGGGTCTTCTTTGGTATGCCCAAGTGGGGCCCACCATTAGTTTTTGTCCCCCAGCCCAACTCCTCATTTGTTCCCCTTCCCGTGCACACCTTCACTCTCTCTCTCCCTCAGCTCTCTTTTCCCCCGAGCACCTACACACATACACTAACTCTCTCTGGGACCTCCCTCACCTTTCTTGTCCATCTCCCTCCTCTGTGTGTGACAACTCCAGAATTTGGACACCCCAAGAATTGGTACAAATGCATGAAGTAGCTCCAGCGGGTCTCCATTACCCTCTACATAGGTAGGTCTCGAAAAACACTCCAAAGATTTCCTTTTTGGTTCCCATATTTCACTTCTAATCATATATGTGTATTGTGGGCGTTGAAACATCGAGAAATCGCCTCGGACGAGCTAAACTTTAGTTTTCGGCATGTACCCGTGGCTTCTATGGCGTTTTTAGGCCAACTCCAGCCACCACACGCCTTGAAATTAGTACGAATCTCTTCCTTGTTCCTTGGGCTTCATTTTGGTATATTGTATGACCTGTTTTGGTCATGTTTTGGGGTTGAACGGAGCTTGGAAAGCTTCGACTTTCCTCTTCCTTAAAAACAAGCACACACCCCGGCCAGAAACTGGGTCAAACCCAACCCAAGAGCACTAGGTCGGCCCAAAGAATTGGGCCATGGAAGCTAACCCAAGTAACCCAACCTAGTCCTAAGCTAACCAAACCCAATTCAAAGTTGGCCCAAACCCATGGGCCTTGTAACCCGACCTAAACCCAGGCCCAATCTCTAAACCTATTAACCCATTAAACCCCAAACCCCTTTGGACCCAGACCTTGGGCCTTCGGCCCAGTAGCCCCAAACCGTGACTTGGCCCGTTGATCGGCCTTTGACCCGACCTATTTGACCGTTGATCGTTGACCTGTCAACATTGACTCTTTGTTGACTTTTTTTCGGGTTTCGGTCGGGACCCCTCCTAGACTAATTTCGACGTCCTAAATCCGCTTATGAAGTCCATTTTCCAAAATTCAATCGTTATGATAGAGTTTTATTAATTAGACCCTTTATGTGCTTAGGTGCGATTATTAGCGACGATTACGTCATAGCTCTTCAACGATGAAGTATCTGTGAGTGGACCCTTTCTAAAATGCATGTTTTAATAGTAGAAATGCATACATGAAAAGCATGATTTAATGGTTACATTTTATGAAACGTTTTATGAGTAAATTAGATTTACGCTTTATGATTATCATGCTTTATGAAGAATATTTTGAAATACCATACTTTATCGAATTTATGTTCTTTGTAGTATATATGATGGATGACTATATACTATTTATGAACATGTTTTTAAACTCTTTGTAGTATTTATGATGAATGACTATATACTATTTATGAACATGTTTTTACACTCTTTGTAGTATATATGA